CAGCAGCCTCAGCAGCAGCAGCAGCCTCAGCAGCAGCGTTTGTTTTCTGATCCATCTTCACAGGAGTTATTTTGCTCTAATGGTGCATTTAATCTGACTCTGTCTCTCTCATTGCCTCCCCCCTCCTCCCCCTCCTCCTCCCCCTCCAAAAGAATGGAGTGTTCCACACACTAAGTGGAGATAATAGTGGCTCCATTTCTGTTTCTGAGAGGGTAATTTAGCCACTCTTTGAAAACATAATTGTCATAATGGCATTACAGAGTTGCTGCTTTTGTTGTTCACAACGTTGCCAGTCACACACAACAGTCTCCTTCTTTGTGTTTGATCAGCTTTTCTAACGCTCTCTTCTGAAGCTCAGCTGGTTTGGTCAGGAACCAAATGAATAGAAACTGGACTTCAATGGCATTTCAGTCCAGTTTATATTCATTTGGAGCCAATTTAACTGAAAACAGCTGATAAATCCACTTCTCTGTGGCCAGTCCCAGATGTTAAAGAAGCATGTTAGCATTAGCAACACTGTAGCATCTGTAGGTACAAGAGAGAAGGAGCAACGTAGTCCTGGAAGAGCAGAGTTCTACAGCACAAATACTTGGTGAAAGTAGGAAAGTCAATTCCTGTCACTGTGACACAGCTCACCAGTGTCACCACAACCAACTGTGACCTCTGTTTTTAACCCATCACCACAGTGAACAGTGGCAGCTTTAAGAACCAGGAGCAGTGAGTGGAGACGGAGCCATGACAGAGCAGCTGGTGGACTCAAACCTGAAACCTTCTGGACCCAAGTCCGCTTCCTTAACCATATGGTGGTCATGTGTCATGTGGTGAAACCAGGGGTCACTGAAGCCTCAGGATCATTCATTCAACCAGAAACAGAAATGATCACAACAAAGCAAAAAAGAAAAATCAGGTGAACAAAAATCAATAAAAAACATTAAAAGATGAAGTCAAGTCACAGTTCAGAAACAGACGACTGATGTTTCTAAATTATTATTTTTTTTAATCTTTTTTGAATGCGTCTCATCAGTCACTCACACATTATGAGTCTCACCATTGCAGGATGCAGTACCGATGCCGACCAGCAGCAGGAAAGGAGTCATTCAGTCCATGGGTTTAAAAAGGAAAGTAGAGCAGAGGAAATAATCCCTGCAGTGAAAAGTGTGTGAATAAAAGCGGAGCGTGATGAAGCGTTAGCCTGAGTTTAACCTCTGTCCTTCAGCCGTACCTGCTCCCAGCTCCAACACACACACACACACACACACGCGCACACACACACACCTCTGAGCCACTGTTTCACATGAAAAGCCATAAACTCATTAAGTGTGAGCTGCTGTTAATCCACTCTGATAATGAAGAGCAGGTGAGCTGAATGGAAATGACTTCAGCGCCTGGGCCACGGGAGCTGGTGAATTTCGATGAAGCTCGTCTACACCCCACCCACACCACTCTTCATCACTCGCACAGATCAAACAGCTGCGTCGGCAGCTCTGCTCTCATTTGTTTTATTTGTGCAGAGTCTAATACGATTTAAGCAACTGTGCAAATGAGATCCCCGAACCGAGGAGAAATTAGCCAATCAAATAAGAGTACGACTCCGACAAGTGTCTCCCGTCTGCGCTGGGACGAAAGTGAACGAGCGCTAACGTCTAATCGGTACCAAGTGTGGGATTGACAAAACTGATTATTAAGATGTTCACTGGATGGAGTTCAAATAGTTTTATATAAATAATGTGATTGAAATGAATTCTCAATGAAACGGAGTCAAATCATAATTTATCTGTTTAACAGTCCTGCTCTGATTGGCTGGTTTGTGTGCCTTTACCTTTAAATGGTAATGAGCCACTGAATGGCTTCATGTAACCATGACAACAGTTAAACAGTGAGAAAGAAGCAGCAGCGTAGTCAGTGGTTAGTAGTTAAATCTGAGACTTCAAAACGTCGAATAATCAGTGTTGGTTTTGGTTTGGTTTTTCAACCTTGGTCTCGACCCCATGTGGGGTCACCTGCCATTCAAATGGGGTCACCAAAAATTGATATTAATCTATTAATTGATAAAAAATACTGAAAATATTTTGTCAACTAATTATTCATTTTAAATTATGATTAAAAACACCACACACAATCTTCAACAACTGTTCTTTCACCTTCACGAATATAAAACGAGTTGAATAAAAAATACCAGAGCTGGAGCTAAAAAAAAAAAAAAATGTCTCTTAGAAATCTGCAATGACAAAAAGGGGTCACGGGCCAAAATAGGTTGGGAATCACTGAAGTGAGTTGTCACTGGCTGCGGGTCTGACCGTCACGTATGAGTAAATGGAGGTGAAATTTAAAACATTTGCAAATTTGTCCCAAACTGGTACCTGAAGCTAAGACTGAAACACCAGGGACCAGAGACGTAGGGACCAGAACCAGAAGACAGAGGAGGTTCTGAAGAACCACTTGGTCCAAAATGAACTTCAGCTCTTTGTCAAAAATGAGAGGAAAGACTTTAGAAACAGTTGAGTGAAATCTTTACTGTAGCAGCAAAATCAAACAAAATAACAGATTTCACAGCACCACCTTCATCACTACCATCATCGTCATCAGCAGCAGCAGACAGGTTTAAACACAGTAAAACCTTCCACCTTGGTCACTCCACAGCACACACCCTCATAAAATCATAAATAACAAGCAGATCTTTTCTCCCAGCGACTTCCCTCTGGTCACAGGAAAATAAATGATTGTAGTGACTTTGTGTCTCGGTGAGGAGTCAGGAAAATCATTAACAAAAAAAAATGGAAGTTAATTCAATCAGTCACTCCTCATGTGACACAGAGGGAGAGGAATCGCAAAATAAAAACAACAGAAGAAAAAAAAAAAAGTCTTTGAAATGAGAACATTTTATATTAACGTCTCTGTTGAATCCCTCTGGTTCAAAGGCAGCATCACTGTCAGACTTTGGCTTCGGACCCACGGACGACAGCCGTCTGTCGCCGGTGGGTCAGTAGTTATTGATAAGGCATCAGTAAATATGGAGGAGAAACAGAGGAAAGACAGGAGTGAATAAAGTGAGAGCGTCAGGACCGACCTGCGTCTCCTGATCAACTCGCCTCCTGTTCCCTGAAGAGCATGACGCAGGAGTGCAAAGACAAGTCAGGTGAACCAGTCAGTGACCAGTTCAAGTCCCCAGTGTCCTGGAGTCAAAGTGCTGTGTTAAAGGGATATGTTCACTATTGTTTTTTTATTTCTTCAAGTATGAGAGTCAGAGTCCGTCAGTCAGAACTCCTGCTCTCAGTGAGGAAGAAACTGATGAAAGTGTTAGTACTTAAGTAAAGATGATAAGACTTGTTTTAGCAGCAGTTCAATGACTGTATATCACAGCATTTACTGAATACAGTCACTTAGTTTTCGTGAAAACAAAAACAAAAATGTAAACTATTATTTTTCTCTCTCAGTCTGGACCTTTTCCTGACCTTCACTCCACAAAGGTCCTGGAGACCCTGAACCGTCCTGATCCTATGACCTCTCCCTGGTGTCCACGGCTCAGTTTGTTCATGTGCACACTTTCGCCACCAGGAGTCACTATTCTCAATTGCTAGCCATTTTCGTTTTGCCCAAACATCGCTAATCCAGGAAACTGCTAGAATCCCTCGTCGTAATCTGCGTCGGAGCCGTAATCTGAGACAGGAAACAAAGATCAATAATTATTGATTAGTGATCATCAGAGTCCAAGTCGGGACAAATGTTCAACATCAAACCGAGTTAGATTTCTGTGGTTTAGGTCAAAGGTCATGAAAGGTGAACTGTGAGTGGAGGTGTGGTTAGGAGTCCAGGTCACTGAAGACCTGTGTCCAGTCACAGCCAATCAGAGACATTTTAATCCAAGTCTTCAGTGAGGTTTGAGTGTGAACAGACAGTTCCTGAACTCTCCCTCAGTCTGGCTCCGTGTTTAACGACAATCCATTCTCTTCAGACACTTTGAGTCTTTATTTAACATTTCAAACCTGTAGAAGCTGCAGACAGACAGACAGACAGACACCACTGCAGTCTGTGTCTCTGACTGACTGACTGACTGGGACGAGGGTTTTTTTGTGTGTGTTTTTAATGAATCTGCTGCTGTGGGTCACAGCCCAGGTTCTGCTCAGACGCCTGCTGAGTTTTAATGAGCCGTCCCCTGCGTCAGATTAACTTTCACTCCACGTAAACGTGGAAGGCTGTTTCACTGCTGGGACTCTGACTCTGACTCTGCTGCTATTTAAATACACGTTCATAAAAACTGTCTTCATGAATCCTGGAGAGGAAACGGTCTTACTGCTGTCCCAGTGAGACTCAGGTCAGACAGAACCTCTGCAGCTGAGACACAGTGGACACAGAGTCCTGGGAATCAGTGGAGGGACACCATAGTCTCTGAGTGGAACTTGTCCTTAGTCGTTATAAGGACAGTCACAGGGACGAGCGGGACGAGGACCTCAGTCTGCTTGGTCAGATGTAGGACAGGACCACTGGTCATTGATGTACTCTTGATATAACTGATATAAGATGAGAATATATTATTTAGAGATAGGTGGCGCTGTTTGAGGCTTTTCATGTTAAATTGGTTAAAATGAAACCATTTAGAGTTCAATATTGTCTTTCACTCTACAGGTAGATGGCGTAACGGTACACGTAGTAATACCTGTAACAGTTGTTTACAGTAACAGTTCAATGTTTTTATATAGAATGAAGGTGATATTTTCTTCAACGTTTACAGTACTTTATATGTTCAGCATTATTTTTTTTATACATTCCCTCAAACCCCCATCTGAATTTGGAATCTGTGGCTCAGCTCATTTGGTACTATTTAAAATATCGATATATATCTCATATTACGATGTACTAAAAATATATCCTGATATGACTCGTTGCCCTCCTCTTTGGGGGTGAACAAAGAGAACAAAAAGTGTTTTGCAGGTCTTAATAGAAAGTTTCAACTGAGTCTGTGTCTACCTGTCTTCAGGCTAGGGGGCGCTCACACTGACCGTGGCTGTCAGAACCACTGAGCTCCACACTGCCTTAAAATCTCAGGACTGTCCCTTTAAAGTCAGTTATTATGGCATGTAATGCCGTGTGTGTGGTGTTGAACTGACTGTTGCTCCCCATCAGCTCCATGGCGCTGACACAGGGCTCCTCCTCCTCCTCCTCTTCATCATCGGCAGCAGCGTCATCGTAGACAACCGGGCCACTCTCCACCACCACGCCTTCACCCGTGGGGTTTTCCACCGGCACTGGCAGAGGGTTTGGGTTGGCAACCTGGACAAAGAATCCAGAAAATGTCTTTGGTTTTTAATGCAGAATATTTTGATCATATTTTTAACATAATGAGCAGAGAAATCTGACGTAGATGTGCTCTGTCCTGACCCACTTCCTGTTAGGAATATAAAAAAAAAATTAAAAAAACAGAAGAGTTTGATGTGTGAGCAGCAGGAGCAGCAGCAGCAGCAGCAGGAGCAGTTTTTAAATCTGCTGTGCTGGAATGTTCTCTCTCCAGGTCAGAGTTTAATCTGAGCCTGAAGAATGAACAGAAAAACCCCTCTTGGGTTCGAGTCCCATCACAGAGGAGAGGGTGAACGTGGGGGTAAAGTCCTCATCACAGCTGCCCCTCTTTTTACATTTCACCCCGTTAACATGGGCTCGGCTGAGCTGTCAGACGTTTCACGCCTAAACACGATGATTTTCCACCGCCTCGGGTCGACTGTGGCTGACTGTATTTTCCAGGGGGCTGCTGGGAAATAGAAAGTGAGCAGTTTACGGTTTAAAGAAGCAGACGTACAGGAGGAGACGTTGGCAGCAGCACAGGTGAAACCACTGGAACAAAGTAAGACAAAAAGTCCTTCTGACTTTTTTTGCTGTAGTTTCTGAGACTTTTTTTTCTTTTCTTTCCTGAGAGTCATCTTCAGTGATGTCGGTAAAGTCGACCTTGTTGTTCCCTGACAAAGCTGTCGGTTCATTTCCCTCCAGTCTCGTCTCATTTGGTTCTGTCAGTGCTGAATCATCCATTTCATACCGTGTTGAATATGTGACAGGAAAGGGTTAAAGGAGATTGTGTTTAATGGAAGGAACCTCTGCTGTCGGGCTTTGACACCTGCAGCTTCTGATGTTCCCATCAGCTGAGGATAAATATAAATGTGGCGGAGCAGCAGGAGGAGGTTCACGACTGGGAGGAGGAGGAGGAGATGTTTCCCCAGCTACGGGCTGAGAGCCACGTCTCTGCTCCTTCCTAACTCCTTTATTCTGGGACCGTGTCCTCCTCCACACTGGTACAGTCACACTGAACCCTGGTCGTTCATCTGCTGCGGCGCTAACCTCCAAACTATAACTGCATGAACACGGAGCAGTGTGGAACTCAAACGAACCAAAGAATCTGCTGAGTTTAGAGTCACAGACGAGATGATGAAGTGAATGAGGACAAATATTTATGGTCTGCACCGTTGAGGTCAGGACGAAGGAGCAGCAGCAGCAGCAGCAGGAGAAGGAACCGAAGGCGGGAAGCACCACAGCGGACGAGGCAGATTGATTGACAGGTTCTCATCGGAAAATTGGTGGCAGAAAAATTCCGTCAACTTTTCATTTTTACAATTTTGACAAGACGTTGGTTTGAAGTTTGAAACCTCAGTCAGAGAAAGACAGCGTTCACCTTCAGACGGTCATGACATCTGCTCCCATCAACACATGTCTTCAAACCCACACCTCTGACTGTCTTCACTGAAGAAAGAAAGGTTTCTTTTCTGTTAGGTGCCGTACACACACACACTCACACACACACACTCTCTCTCACGCACACCCACACGAGACACACACTTTTCAATCTGTTGCTGTAATGAAATGGCCGTGTTACATAACTGCAGCTGTGAGCAGCAGCAGCAGCAGCAGGGGGAACAGTCTTCACTCTGCACAGATCCACACAAGCGGACGCAGGTGTGGTGGGGAGGTGGGAGCCTTGTTGACCAGACCCCTTGCAGTAATGTTTTCTCCCTGGACGGAGGAGTCCAAGTTCCCAGAGAGAGCTCCTTTGAGAGCTGCAGACAGCAGCATGATGAAGCAGGAGAAGAGGAGGAGGAGGAGGAGGAGGAGGAGATGAATGGAGTTATGAGGAAGGAGCAGGAAACAGATGGAACACTGGTCCATAAAGACGCCTGCTTTTACCTTCATCAGATCACGTGACTCAACTCTTAACAATGAAAATATAGAATCAAAGTGATTTTTTTGTTAAACGACTAAATAAAAATGAAGGACCAGACTGAGACAAAGAGTCTCAGTCTGGTCCTGCAGAGGACAGCCCCCCCACCCCCACCCCCGACACTGAGGGTGGGCCCATTTTGTAGCTCACAGGCCACAGTGGGGTTAAATATTGAACCGACTGCTCAGGTCAGTGTCAGATAATGTGGCTCAGATGGACCAGAACAGAATGCTGTCATTTTTCAAAATAAAAGCTCTTCCTTCAGTGCAGTCAGCCAGGTCTGGTGATATAAACCAACTGAAACTGTTGTTGATGTTATTGCAGAAAAATGTCACAGAAACCAGTCCTCACCACAAGGTGGACAACTCTGTACTAATGTTCAACAGGACAGATCTGGAGGCCGTACGGGCCGTGTCTGGCCCTCGGACCATAGTTTGCTCATGCCTGAGTGTTGTAACTGCTGCAGCTGTAGTGACCCACAGTAGAACCACAGACACACAAACAACAGACTGAAGTCCACCGGCTGATTCAAAACTACTACGAGTTCTCCTGAGTGGACAGACATTTCAGGTGAGAAGAAGACGCGTCTCTCAGAGATGATAAAGGACAAAGAGGAAAACTCTGAGCTGCTCCACAGACTGACTGGGTCTGAGCTGCACAGACAGAGAGGTCACCAACAGACAAAGAGTTTTTAACAACCTCAGAATGGGTTTAGTTTAGGAGCGACTCAGATTTATCATGAGCAGGAAAGAGCTGGGAGGGAGGGAGGGGAGGGAGGGAGGGTGAGGAGACAGGAGGAGACAGGAGGAGACAGGAGGAGTAATGAGGGAACAGCAAACAAAGACAAAGTGAGGTTCACCTCTCACACGGCCTGAGAAAAAAAAATGAATTCATTCTGGTCCAGTGTCAACAGAGACTGTTTACTGAAAGACACAGACGGAGAGAGACACAGAGGGACAGATAGGTGAGACGATAGACAGATAAAGAGACAGACAGGCTGAGAGACAAATACACAGAGGACACAGAGGATAAAGACAGCACGCGGGTCTGTCCTCACTGAAGGACAATAACGTAGAGAGCTAAAGCAGAAGAGTGTGTCCTGCATGTGTCCATGCAGTCATCATCACCCTGTGAGAACAGATGATGATGATGATGATGATGATGAACTGACCTGACCCACGGCCATCTTCTTACTGGCCTGTCCACTGATGAAGGGCTGCAGCCTGAAACACAGAGGAGTGGACACTGTCAGCACAGAAGACGTCTTCACACTGACGGGAAATTGACTTTAATTCACTGTGATTATTTGGGTTCAACCAGATGTGTAATAAGAGACAGGTGGGTTCAAACAGAGGGGCGCGTTAACCATTAACAACCGTTAATCCAGGTGAAGAAGCAGAGACTCCGACAGTCACAGCACAAACACCAACCCACCCTCACCAATTAACCTTCCCTGAGGCTCCGCCCACCCAGCCTAACATCGCCAACACCCTCCCTGGAGACACGGAGCTACAACTCACGGACAAAAGACAGAGAGAGAGAGAGAGAGAGAGAGAGAGAGAGCTTTCAATTAGTCTACTCTAACCAGTGTGTGTGTGTGTGTGTGTGTGTGTGTGTGTGTGTGTGTCACTTTTTTTCTGAAAGCTCATTAGAAAGAAAATTTCAGCCAGGCTGACGAATGGCTCCCTGCTGAGTGAGCTGCTCAAAGTGTGAGACTGGAGCGACTCCCCTGTGACCTGACCAGGACAGGAGGAAGGAGACAGGGGGGGGGGGGGGGGAGAACAATGTTTGGTCACAACAGACAGTGAAAGGAGTGGGGAAACAGCTGAAGGTAAAAGAGAGAGGAGACCAAAAATAGAGGAGGAGATCTTCACTGTGGAGGGGGGGGAGGAGGAGGTGACTTTTACTCTGCAATAATCAGGAATGTTAATGAATAAATGATGATGATGATTTCCCACTCAAAGTCCAACCCACTGCCAAACAAACAACAGAATAAAAACTTCATCACAGATATTTTAATTCCTCATCTTCGAAAAATACGACAGCGAACAAGTCAAACTCTGGACGTGGATCATGGTCCGTTCATGGTCCGTTCATATAAAACCAACAAGTACCAACAGAAGTACCACAGGAAGCCAGACAGGAAGTGAACAGACAACAACCACAGTAAACTGGGCAGAAAGCATCCAATCTTTCAGGCTCAGCTCTGTCTGTTCCACAGTGAGAGGGTTTAATCTCAGAGTGATGGAGGAGGACTGCTCATCAGACACCTCCCCCTCCTCCTCACCTCCCCCTTCTCTATGATGGCATAGCAACAGCCGTATCCATGAACCAGACGTCCCACAAGCATCTGTTAAGTGCTGCCGTTATAAAAAAAAATTTAAAAAAATGGATGGATGAAATGAGCCTGGAAACAAACCCAACACCTCCATCCTCAGGTGCCACGGAAACCAAAAAGCTTTGAGGAAAAATGTCACCACAGAAGAACGGCGTCGTTCCTGCTAACTGTGGTGACGGCACCGATGGAAACCACTGAGCCGAAGTCAGGTGACCGGAACATGGACGGATGATTTGTACGATCTGACAGAAGCAGAGTTTAGGAGGAAAAGTCTGGGAACAGTCAGGGTCAGGGTGAGCAGGGATTTAATTCTGATGAATGAACACCAGCTCAACCACAGCTGGAATTCAGTCTTTAGAGAGGACAGTGACCAGGCATCAGAGACTGATGGAATTCTCTGATGGAGACACCAGCAGAGTTTTCACAGCGACGTCAGCGGAGGAGGATTTTCATAACAAAACTTTTTTTTACGTTTTTTTTTACTGGACTTATCGTTAACTTATCCTAAATTTCCCAAAGGGAACACCGGAGAGTTTAAAAAAGTGCTATCTATCTATCTAACGTTCTGGTGAGGTGTCCATGGTCCCTGTTGTGTCAGGGCTTCCATGTTAGACCAGGTCTGTGAACCATGACGGTCAGTCTGGATTAGTTCTGTTCTTCACAGAGACTGTTCTGTTAGGAACAAGTCTAAAAGTCTCAAAAAGTCATACAAATTCCATTTATTTTTTTTGACTGTTCGTGTTTTGGACAACGGTCATTAATCTTCGTTACCACGGCACAGGGTCTAGGAGTCACTATTAGGAGGTCAGAGGTCAAACGGCTGTCGACGACGCCGCAGGACGACCCGCGGCGGCAGACGTTTGGTCCCCACGGCAACCGTTAACAGCAGCAGGGAGTGGCTCCCGGCGCCCGGTTGGATCTTGCAGCATAAATCACTCACAGAGGAGAAGAATGGAGGCACACGCAGAGTCTTCAGGAGTGAAGACCACCTCCCCTCCACCCACAGACCCACAGACCCACAGAACACACCCCAACACACCTCACACATCATGGCTGACTGCTTTGAAGTGGTTCTGCAGGGAGGGTGAACAACACTTGGTCTAAAGATGTTTGAAAAAACATTCACATGTTACAGTATATGTGATGATCTAACAGCTGTGATGAAGACCAGTCAACAATGTCCTGAAAGTTGTGTTTTTCTATCATTTATACATGTATAATATTCAGACAAAACACGTCCACATGGACCTGGACATTGGACAGTCTGGTCTCAACTCTTCACTGACTCCAAAAAGGACACAGACTGAAAAACTCAAAAGTTTACTCTGAGTGGAGAAAACTTTATGAAAACTCTGCTGTGATTGAAGAATGGAGAGTTCATGGCTCAACATGAACTGAGACCCTGACCAGTCTGGACCCCACACAGTACAGACAGTTGAGTGAGACCAGACTATGGACTTGACTCAGACTAGGTCAGAAGTCTGAACACTGTGGGTACAATAAAACAATTATGTGGAGGGACTGAACAGCAGCATTGTTCCAGCGACCTGGACCTGAACTCTGAGACTCTGTTCTGGGTCAAATCTTGTTTATTCTACACATCTCTGATAGTTAGGCCACAGAACAACAAACTCCCATCAGTCTGGGTCGTCTGCCTGTCCGTCTCATATCAAACCACCCACCCACCCCCTCCTCCTCCTGCGGCGCCACCCTCCCCCCCACCCCACCACCCACCAAGTCTCTGTCTCAGTCTCTGTCTCTGTCTCTGTCTCTGTCTCAGTCTCAGTCTCTGTCTCAGTCTCTGTCTCTGTCTCTGTCTCTGTCTCAGTCTCAGCTCTGCGGCTGCTTCTTAATCAGCTTACTGCCAACGAGACCAACCCTGAGCTGAAAAGACGACTGAGGGAGTTCGTTTAGACGCCGGCTGACAACTGACTACGGCCTTGAGAGGGGGAGAGGGTGGTATCAGTGAAACTTAGAGAGGAAGAGGAATAGAAAATAAGAAAAGACGGCAATAATTCATCCTGGCTCTGAGCAGAGCAGGGACCAACTTGAGAGTGGAGATAAAAGAGGACAAAGAGGAAGTGTCTGCTTATTGTGGCTCTGGGAGGCAAAACTCTTCAGCTGCTGAGACAACCCCCCCCACCCCACCCCCCACCAGACCATGAACTGCACACAATAGTATCAACTCCTCTGGTGTCAACATTTCTGCTCAGCTAGCTGCCCTGGTATTTCTCCCTCTTTATTACTGTGGCTAAGCTGTGGATGAGAACTGGGATGTTTTCCAAATGGCCCAGTTTAAGAGTTTCGGGTTGAAATTCCAGACATGGTCGTCCCATTAGTTACAGTGAAGGGAGGTGCGCCGCCAAACAAAAGCCTCGGCCGCTGAAAGTGTTTGGGTGGAAGAGGAGAAAAAGCTGCTGCTGCTGCTGAGGCTATTACTGCTGCTGCTGCTGCTGCTGCTGAGGCTGATACTGCTGCTGCTGCTGCTAACAGGAAAACTACTGTCAAAGCGATTTCTCATTTCTAAACACTTGGTGAGATTCATCTGCACGGGGGATGGTGGGGGGCAGTGTGGGTGAGGCAGAGGAGATAAAACATGTAAGGAATGTTTTTGGAATTACTGTGGGAGGTTGAATATCTCATACAGTACAGTACTAAACACGGTTGGATTTAATTAGAAGTGGTAATTAGAGCAGATCATCTTCCAATGATCGACTTATTTATTTTACTTTTACCAACATAAAGACTGGAGCTAGGCACATTTCAAACCATCGTTCACCTACTGCCAGGCATGCCTTATGTTAAGTAACACATCCACTAGGGTGCGCTGAGGAACAGAATACACTAAATATTTATAAATATATATATGTACAAAAACATACATGTACATAGATACATACCTATATACACATATATACATTTACATATAAACAACATATTATACCTATATACATTTACATATAAACAACATATATATTATATAGATAAATTATCTCCATGTTGATTGGGTTATTTCATTTGTGAAGATTAATCTGACTATTATTTCAATGCATCTAAATGCAACGTTACCTTATAGTCGATACAGGCGTTACTATTTGGAACCACTGCAGGAGCTGAAGTGACTGACACCACTGTCACATGGATTGTGAGACACTGTAGACTAATATTTCGTGGAAATTCTCGCACCGTTCTACTAGCGGCCATGAAAAGGCAGCAGTCCCTGAGTGTTTGTTTTTTTTATTTTCCATTAAAACAAACCGTCTCCGTGGACTGCAGGACGGTTGATGTGGGCTAACATCAACAAACGGGGTTCATTCTGTCTGTTAACGTAACACGGTGCAGTCAGTCATGCTTTTCATGACCTGCGTAAAACAAAGCTGGACTATTTCAGGTACTGGGATGTTCAATGACAAATCCTGTGTCACTCTGTGGAAAGATGTAGAATAAAGACGAAGGACAGACACTTACAGCCTCATTACAGGAAAAAAGACAATCATAAATATATGCTACGTGGCAGCAGAAAATTCCCAGTGAGTTTTACTTTCTAATATATCTGTGTTCTGTAGACCAGAGAATGTTAAAACCATGCAGTCAGTTCAACACTTTAACACTGTTAAATTCAAGATAAAACTAACAGAGGGTTAGACGGGACATAGACCCCACCCCCACCCCCCCCCCCACCCCACCCTCTACCCACTCCCTCCAGCCCAGTTCCCAGTTCTGTTTGCACGTCAGCTAGCTTCAAACAGCACCAGCATCCAACGGCTCATTGGTTACAGTTTCCCGAGCAGAGGGCAAAAAGGAGGAGGAGGAGAAGGGGGAGGAGGGGGTCAGAGGAGGATCAGAGGCACTCGTAGGGAGGGGCCACAAAACCACGGACAAATTACACACCCTCCCGTAACACAGCTGGTCACAGAACAAGGAAAAACATCCTCTCTGATGGAGCGTGCAGAGGAAAAAGTGACAAACTCCTGGTCCGACCTCCCCTCACTCCTCATCTGCAGCTGAGCGTAGACTGAGCCTGAGCCCGTCCCTCCTACCACTGTTCCCCTGTTTCAGTGTAAAAATAATTGTGACTGTAATAATTTAATGCAGCAGCAGCAGGGGGTTTATTTTGGTCTTTATTTCGGCACCTGCTCCACTGAGGTGAAAAACAAACCTGAAGTATTTCCTGCCTCCCGTCCTCTGGCACAGCCTGTGAGAAGCAGAGGCTAAAATCACATCTGGCAAAAAAAAAAAAACTGCTGAGTTCTACTCTTTCTCTCTGCAGTTGGATCTGGCTCTGGGTTCCATTTACATTTTCTGAAAAACCAACATTGACCAGAATGTTGGGCCTGGCTACCATCCCGACTGAGAGGCTGAAAAAATAACTTTTTTTCTGTTTTCTTTTCTGGTACAAAAAAAGCTGTGGAATGAGGAGCGACTGAGTAAAAAAAGAATTAAAAAAAAAAAACAAAGGTTTAGAAGAGAGGAGGTGAAACGGTGAAGATGCACAGAGTGACCGAGGGCAGGGAGAAGTAGGGCTGCGGGGCAATTATCTGGGCTATTTATGGAAGAGTGCTTTTCCATCCTCCACCAGAGGAAAGGAGGGAACAAGGAGGGGAGGGGGAGTTGGCAACTGGATGAAGGGGGAGGAGGGAGGAGAGACAGAAGGAAGGCAGAGGGGAGAAATACAGAAGGAGGAGGAGGAATGAAGGACTCCTGAACCTGGACAGTTTGGTCCTGTGAGTTCAGAGAGGACGGGGGACGAGGGTGAGAGAGGGGACAAGAAAAGAGAAGCAAATGTGAAGAAAAGAAGAAAACTTCAACATCTAAAAAGTTTATAAAACGTCCACTCAGTTTAAAAAAAAAAAAGTCAAATAATCTGAAGTATTCTAGCTGAGGCTTCTGACCGTCGCCTCTGACGCAACTGTCGTACACTGTTCACTAACGGTCGTAACGCCAAGATCACCAAGACATCAGAACACAGAGGAAAAAGGCAAAAGTCTGAGTGAAGATCAGAGCTGCTGCAGAACTGATGGTGCCGAGTGATCTAACAGTTCGGAAAGAGTTTTACTGAGGATTGGAGTCATCACAGTACGGGGGGAAGGAGGAGGAGGAGGAGACATCCAAAAAGAAGGTCAAGATGGAAAAGAAGAGGGAGAAAATAAAGGCAAAAAAGAGGGGAGAGGTGAGGAGATGGAGGAGGTGAGATAAAGGTACACAGGGTCAGATGAGGAAGGGGAGGAAATAAGGTGACAGGAAGAGAAGGGAGAGGTGAAAGGAAACAGGAGGTGAAGTGAAAGACAGAAAAGGGGAGAAAAAAGGAAAGGGAGAGGGTGAGCTAAAGGTAATAAAAAAGGAGAGTTGAGGAGAGGGAGAAAATGAGGTAGAGGAAAAACAGGGAGAAGTGAGGTGGAAGAAAAATTAACTTCTGAACCAGAACAGCTGCAGTTTGGAGTGAACTCAGCACAGAATGAAAAACATTATCAAAACCTCTTCAGACCAAATCAGTCGACCGCCGAGACCAGATCCTGGGCTCAGTGCTGTCACGTTTACATGTGTGTTTGCTTTACGGGTCAACAGAGGAGTGGACCAGGAGAAAGGTGTTGGTTGGTCCAGCAGGAGAGGAGGCAGGAGAGGAGAACAGGCAGGAGAGGCAGGAGCACTGTGTAGCCCCTATCAACCAGGCCTCCAAGCAGGGCACAAAGGCTCCACTGTGAGCAGGCCTCCTCTTGCACCTCCACAGGTCTGCATGCTTTTAATAAGCAGCACAACAAGCCTTTCAGAGACTGCACCAATGGTGAACTCCTACAATGAGGCTCTGAATGGAGCCATTCTGAGTCCAACGGTCACTGGTCGGGGTGTTTTGTTTTTCGTCTTAGCAGCAATAATTGTTCACTCCAGTCTGACTACCGACTGCTGTTAGAAAACGGGAGATCATCCGGCTGCAGGGCTTTTTATTTCTGCTGCTAATGAGCGGTGCTGCGGAGCAGCTGAAGGCTGAAACCCTGCAGGGTTCCACAGTTCGTTTGGTACATTCACAGAGGCCTGAGCTCAGGATGCACAGATGCTTCCTGTCAGGAAGAAAAGAGACAAATGACAGAATGGAACCAAGGGCGACGTTGATGACTCAGGAGAAAGAGTCTGTTGTCACTGGTGGACCAACAGATCTGGAGGAGGGTTTTGAAACACTGCGGCAGGTCAGACTCTTCAGCAGGGACTCTGAGGACAACATGAAACCAGAGCTGGTCTGTCCTTCATGGAGCGTGACGGCTCCACCACCAGAAGATCGCTTTTGTTATGAATAAAATAATATATATGGAAGAAGAACAGCGCCTCCCCCATCACTCCCTCTCCTTACTCTCCTCCTCTCAGAGCACAGCTTCAGTTGTCTAGCATCGACCCCTGACCTCCCAGTGGAGGCGCGCCATCACAAACTCCCGCTTCCCCACAGCAATCAATAAAAGTCTCACGTTATCGCTTCTAAATGAGACGTGGTCTAATGTGTCATAATGTGTGTCATCAATCAGGGTGTCAGTGGAGGTGGAGGTGGACCCCCCACACCCCCACCCCACCCCCCGAGAACCTGCTGGGCATCAGTGCAGTCCACAGCAGTCCCACTCAGACACAGGCAGACTTCAGGGATAACAGTTCTGTACACATTTTCAATCTGTTTTTGATGAAGTTTTTTTCTCCTCTATTCATTTGATTTCTCTTTTCTGTAAAAATATAAACTTCCAAAGAAAACTTCAACAAAACAACTTGATGACCCAGAAACCGAGCGACAGAGGGGGAGATTTTACATCCGATGGTAACCATCCAAATCCTTCAATGAATGGCTGCATTCCAAACCTCATCTGAGATGTCCACAGCTCAGTCCGTCTGACAGAAGCTTCAGACCAAGAGCAGTTCTTTGTTGAAGCCAGTTTACTCAGATTTATTTTCCATGACCTGTTTTCCTGTCTCTAATGGTTTTTTCTTTTTCAGACCCACGCCTGTGTCCTCCGTCTGTGTGTGTCTGTGTGTGTGTGTGTGGATCCTCCTCACAAATCCACTTTGTCACAGACAGAACATTTGATTTAACATGAAAAGAGAGTGGTGCTGAAACCAATCCACACTGCAATAAACAGCAGATTTATCAAACCGCGGGCTGAGTCTCAACCCCAAAACACGCTGCATCATCTCAGAGCTCTGGACGGAAAACTGCATCCAGATGAGTGGAGCTCAACTAACCACAAAATGAGGAGCTGGAGGAAGAGGTTTACGTTCACGTAATCAGCAAACAGCTGCCTCAGTGTGAGTCCTATCAAGCCTGGAGATGGAACCAGCATCAGCTCAGACAGCTTTGGAAGAAGAGCTATAGGAAAAAAAAAAAAAAAACTTCCCTCAACTGCAAACTGATTCTCTACACATTAGGTTCCTGAAAAAACCTGGGACTGGACCAGGTCTGTGAAGACCAGGACTGGACCAGGTCTGTGAAGACCAGGACTGGATCAGATCATTGTCAACAACATTTCTTCAGTTCCTCTTCATTTATTTAATTTTAAAATTCAAAAATAAAAAAGACCATGGGAATAAATGGATACACCTGCCCAAAACTTTTGCACAACAATGGACATTCCAGTCTAAACTCACCCACCTTTTTCCCAGAGTGCTTAGCGGCGTGCTGAGGCTGAGCGCATTTCGCGGGGAGCCTCTGTTCCGTCCAGTCAGTTTGACGGACGACGGCTCTTTCTTCGGGGTCTCCTTCTGGCGGGCAGGACTGGACCCGGGTTTGACGTTGACGTCCTTCAGCACGTCGTAGTTGATCTTGGTGGACAGCTTCCTCTGCTCCAGCAGCTTCTCGATGGCCTCGTCCGCCGTGCTGGCTCTGATGGGAGCACGTTTTTTCGAGGGGCCTCTCGGCTGAAACAACAGGTCGTTACTAGATGAGTGACATCACAAACGTCACTGAGTCTGTACTCCATCAGATGATCAGGGTTTATCATTTACAGGCTGGAATTTTAAAAATATTTCACACATCTTTGCACCAATTTTTGCTCTACTTTGTACAAATAAAATAAAGTCGATTCTGAATCTGGTTCTGATCTCCTCCTGATGGACACAGCAGATGGTCAGATGATTCCTAGAATCAATGTTTGGACCATTATGACAGGGATCGTCCCAGACCAGCAGAGGAACCATCATCTCACACCGATGCACCTTCACACAAACACACTGTAGTGTCATCATTGTGGACAAACAGCACATAAAACACCAGCACGCTCCGCGTCAGTAGTGTCTCCACGCTCACGTCCACTCCGACGGCTGGAGCGTTTGTGTCCAGAGCTTCACGTCTCATTTCATCTCTGCTCTGCTGCAGTTATTCCAGACAGTCAGAGTCTGGAGGCAGATGCTGGGACGAACCAAACCACTGAAGTGAGCCAAGAATACAGCGATGTGAGAGGGAAAACGAGGTGGAACCAATTTTCCCATCACTGTCTGACTGATCCACGGACCATCTGACCGATCGGCTGAAGGCTGTGGGAAAAGGCTCCAGTGGTTTTCGAGGTGCTTTATGTTCCATGTCCCACTTAATGGGTTCACTTTGGACACAAAGACACTGAGTTAGAGCTGGTCCAGTCCAACAGAACCAGAACTACAGGCGATGGTTACAATTTAGTTGCAACTTCTGTCAAACAGTTGTTTGACAGAAGTTGACTGTTGAGTTCTGTTTGGTCACTCAGTTTGACTAACTGACCAGAGCAGGGCTGTCCAGCCTACAGTTTAATCTACTACCAGACATGCGTTCACTGAGATTAAATCTCTGTTTACATGTCCCGCCTTCTTGTCATCAAACATGACTCTGATTGGCTCAGGCGTCCATATTTTCTTCGTTAACATGAAGAAAACATTATGGTCAGACCCTGTGTGGGTCAATGAGAGAGGATTAGAGAAGGTGCTGCTGCTGCTGCTGCTGCTGCTGTGATGTTGATGACAGAGGTGTGGACTCGAGTCTCATGACTCGGGTCAGAGTCATCAATTTGATGACTTTCGACTCGACTTGACAAAATGTAAAGAGACTTGGAACTCGACTTGGTCTTTAACATCAATGACTCGTGGCTTCACTTGGACTCGAGCCCTTTGACTCGACAAGACTTGATACTTTCTCCAAAACCCAAAGATTATAAAGTAAGTTATTGAGGAGCGCTGTGTATCTCTCATTGTGTACATGTGTGCGTCTGTGTGTGTATGTGCTGTCGGCACAACATCCAATTAAATTAGACCCACGTTGTTTTGACGCGATAATATCGTGCCAATCAAATTGCGGGCCAACCAATGAGAAAGAGCTGTCAAACAATGCGCGGGTTAGAGAAAATGATACCAAAGATTGTGTTGTTCGGATTTAAAAACTACGATATGGTCAACAAAAAACGAGTGGCAGTGAGTGGAAGGACTCGAAACAGAAACGGCAGGACTTGGGACTTGACTTGACACTTTTCAGTCTTGACTTAGATTCGACTCGGACTTTGCCTATTTTGACTTGAGACTTGATTCGGACTTGAGTGCAAAGACTTGAGACTTGCTTGTGACTTGCAAAGCAATGACTTGGTCCCACCTCTGTGGACAGATAAAGAGTTTACCTTAAATATTCAAGGATAATAAGTCAAAGAAAACAGAAAGAGTCAAAGAGTTTAACTCTGCTCTCACCTTCTTCTCCTTGTACGTCCCCAGCTCCTTCTCCTTTGCTATCCTTGCCTCCTTTTCTATAACGAGATCAGGCGTTACCACTAGATGTAGCTATGTTCAACAGATGAAGTCCAATATTAAATACATTACCTTTCTGCTCCTTAAGGTAGTCAGAGTTCTCTGCCATCCAGAGGGCCGTCTTTACCTTCACCTCATGATCGCTGAGAAGATACTGCAGAGACAGAAACAATTACTGGTCTCCAACTCAATCAGTAGTTTTAAAAAATGGACAAGAAAAATAAAAATAAAAATAAATGAGCAGACTGACAGAGAAGAACAAAAGTGTCTTGGATGAAAACTGTTTGGGAAATGTCTCATTTAAATGAAGTGGAAACAGCAGCTCCACCCACCAGATCGATCTCTTTGTCATCGATGCCACTCAGGTCCAGCTCCCCACTGTCCTCGTCCCCACCTGTCAAAGACCAAAGCAGGGACACACTGAGGTACCATTTTTATTTCCTTCCTGGGTTAGAGCAGGAGGCCTGACGGGAACGACACCTCCTTCATCCTGCTGCGTCTCCTTCCTCCATGGGTTAAACGGTAAATTAGATGGGACTGCGACTCCCTGATAAACAGGATAATAGGCTTAACTCTGACTGCAGCAGCTCCACCTTCACACTCTTCTCTTTTTAATCACAGATTGAATTTTTTGGAGAAAATGCTGAAAGTGTTTTTTTTTTGGACATTTGACACAGTATGTCTAAAAGAGAAAAAGCTGAGACACGCATGCTGGAATTTACTGAGATTGAACAGTTGAAACGGTAAAAACTTTGAATGGTGCTGATAAAAGGAAAGGTTCCAGTTCACCACAGTGATTGAACTGAGAAACAAAACATTTCTCAGTATTTGACAAGGGGTAAAAAAAAAAAAAAAGGATCGTTCACAGACACTCAGCAGTTTTGGCTCAAAATGTGTCTTTAATTTATTTTGACTGTGTCGCCCGCTCAGTTATTCATCAACTGTAGACAGAGTTTCTCTTCCTGCCTAACATGTAGCCATTTTAGCCAGGTTTCTCAGCTATTTGTACACAATTCAACATCACTGTTGATGGAACACTTTTAAAATGCCATTACAGTAAAGTCCACCCCTACTAACGAAGGCCGGTTGGACTCTTACACCCAGGTTGGCACAGCTAAATAATTTCACTTTCTCAAATTTGTCAAATCAAATCTTTTTAGAGCTTTTCCCCTTCACTGATGTCAGGAATTCAGAACCAGGGTTTTATAGGTAAAATAGGCCACTGAGTTGAAAGCAGTCATTTAACTTGTGTCATCTCTCTGCCTTCGACGCTGACTGCCGTCATGGGGGGGCGCCATCCCCTTCCTCCCTCCCCCCATTTTCCTCGAGTTCAATCTCCCACCAGGACGGCTGCTTCAAAGAGGTGTCACCTGAGTCTGCAGGCAGCTTTACCGCTTCATTAGGGCGAGACAGGTGCAAAGAGAAGGAGGTAAAAGATGAGGAGGAGGAGAAGGGAGACGAGGAGGAGAAGGGAGAGGAGGAGGAGGAGGGGGGAGCCTTCCTCAGACAGCCAGGGAGCTTGGTGCTGGGATTATCTGGCTGCTCATTTGAGTTGAGTTAGCAGCTTCCTTGAATAAAGAAGACACCACTCCAGAGGGGAGACACGGGTCAGTCACTATCTACTGGGCCCAGCCCTCCAAGAACTTCCTCTCTGTGGGGTGGGCGGGGACCAGATAAGGCGGAGAGGAGCGCCGGGAGAAATCCACAGCACCAGGAGGCAGAGAACCAGCGAGTCTGAAGGCTGATACCAGCAATTTAACCTCGGGGGAAGGGAGAGGGGGCAGAAGTGCAGCCCCCAGCTCTGGGGCATCTAGACTGGCTAATTTCAACAAAACCATGAAGATACTACAGATAAAGAAAAAATAACTGAGCCATCAGCTCCAGAGGCAGTTAACAGAGCTCCTTCTATTGGTGGAATTTGCCGGAGCTGTATTTGAAGAGTTCTTTAACATTCAGCGTTTTGCTTCTCCTTTTTTGTAGCTTAATTTCAAACCAACATAAAGATCAAATACGATGGTATGACATCAGTGCTTCGAGTGTTAGCAGGTGCTAAAAATAAATGCTAACAAAAAGGTTAATCGATTAAACCATAAACCTGAAGCATGTTCACAGCTGCAGAAAAATAACCGAGACAAAAGGACACACTAATATGACCCCCGCCCTGGCCCTCATGTTCATCAGCAGGTAACATGAGCCCACATTTGTCCCACCTCCAGTCCTTTCATCTCCAACATGATGCTGCAGAGACACGGACAGCAGCAGTGAGGACTGATGTGGTCAGAGGGAGAATTTTACTGTAGAAGAAAAAAGGAGCAGAGGAACTGTACCCTGAGGAGGGAAGGCTACCTGATGAAGGTGACTGTGAAGAAGAGAAATGGGGGTGAGGGAGTAGAGGGGGGCCAAGTCATCAGAGAGACACTGAAGAAATGTTTCGGAAAAGTTTTAGACTGCGGTAAAAAGGTCAGACTCTGACAGGAACACAAATATCTTTACTTGGAATTTTTTCTGCAAAACCTGGGTGGAAAATGTCCGTCTGGGCTTCCATAGTACACACAACGTCAGAGAATACTACATGTTGTAGACTAGGTAACCATCAGCTGACTAAAGCAAAAAAAGAAAATGCTGCAACAAACAGCACCTATAAACAACTAAAAGTTAGCATTGAATATTTATAGAACCTAAGTCCAGATAAAGAACCACGGTTATGGTTGAATAAATGAATGATCTACTCTTTGAAAATGGTTATTTCTGACCATTGGTCATTACTTCTGTGATCCATCTAGGCCCCAGACCCCATGTTTGACATTGTCTGTCTTAAAGACTGTTGTAAAATTTTCTATTTATTCACAGGCTGTTTTTCTTTCACAGGAAAACAAGTGAACCAAAAACATGAAAATATTTTACTTTGTTGTCTTAACTGTCTGTGGTTTTCAGACCGCAAACCTCTCTTATCCAACAGAATTTTCTCTTCTTTTTTATTCTCTCAGCTCCTTCAAACAACAGTCGAGTACCGATTCAAAAACGTTTCACAAGCAGAGGGTTTCTCTCCTCCATGTTTTTCACTGGTGGTATAATTAGAATGTAGCGAAGTGTCAGGGCGTGTATACCACGTCCATTAGCAAAGACGAAATACTCTGACCTTCACGCAGGAGGAAAAGTTTCATCTTTAATGGAGAAAAACAAAAACAATGTGTCGGTGACAGAGAGGCAGAGCAGGACAGATAAGGAGAGGAGAAATGAAGGAGGGAGGAGACACAAGGGTGATGGAGGTAAACAGTGGGGGGGTCGGTAGGGAGGAGGAGCGATGTGGAGGAGAATCTCCATAAGAAAAAGATATAATAATATCTTTATATTTTATGGATATATATTGTAATATATCCATAAAAAAAGCCAAAGGTGAGCGATGACCTTGAAATACTACCGCCGACATGGCAGTGTACGTACAGTACCACCATACTTTACACTCAGCAGTGAAAACATTAACAACACATTCTGCTGGAGTTTGACATTTTTGAGAAAAAAAAACCTCAAGGTCACATTCAGATACAGTATTTCCCCGTTTTCCCAAACAACTCCTGGAGGAACAACAGGCGAACACACAGCCCTGGGCGACAAACTATATTTTCTCCACCAAAACAATTTTTTTAAAAACTGTGTGAGTGTGGGAGCAGACAAACACCCACACACACAGCTGCGGGCAGGTTCACATATGTTTTTTCATCAGTTTAAAAATAAAACCACCAACAGTCTGTTCTTAGAAGAAGTGAAGAATGTCATTGAGAGTGAGGAGAGGGTTTTCTACTAAACAGACGGAGATCTGGGTTTTTACATTGATGAAAAAGAAAAGACTCAAAAAACTCTGTTTGTTTGTTTGTTTGTTTTGTTCTTTGTAATTTTCCACAGTGGTATTAGGAATTATACACTCACCAACAGGGAATATGACCAAATATTATTTATACAATGAACCCATGGGAAACAAAAATCCCACATTTTTCCCAGAAACATTTTTATGGCTGTTAACAGTGAAAAAGAAACGCCATTGTGTGAAAATAATGCTGTTGGAAAATGAAGCTCTTTTCTGCTGACACTTTTTGTTCCCACTTAAACCACAGCAAACAGATTTATCTCAAGCGTTAATCACTGTCTCTTTTATTGTATAATCCAGATTTCACTGCTGTGGATTACAGATTAAAGGCCTGGCTGTAATCAGTGTGCTCCTCCCTCTGCTGCAGCGTCTTTAAAAAAAAAAACAGTTTGGAGCCGGTGGACGTCCTTCCCTGCGGCACTGTGAGGTCACGAGGCTCGGTGCCAGCTCGGCCTCACAGACAGCCAGCAGCCGGAGGAGGAAATAAACAGAGAGGCAGAGAATCTCGCTGACACCGGCAGAGCGGGCCGGACCATTAAAAACTGACCCCGCTGCCCTTGGAGGAGCTCACTCTGAAAGTACACCCACTCCTCCACCTGCTCCTCCTTCTCCTCCTCGGGACATTCAAATACACGGGGAGTGAGGAGACACAGACGTGGAGGATCTGCAGGCAGGAAGTCTGCTCTCACTGCTGAATGATGAAGATGAAACCAACAGCAGGCTTTTTATCTCTTGGCAATTTAGATGAATATTTACAACATATTTACAAAACTCTGGCAGCTCATCACTCCCAACCTCTACCTCATTCACACACTCCATGTTCAGTCACACAGCGCCAACAACATCCTGCTCCTGACCTACAAAACTCCCTGACACCTCTGTTAGTGTTCAACTTCCTGCAACTATTTCCCAGCTCAGGGATCCTCCTACAGACCACAGGGACAGAGACCAGGTCCAGGTCTGTTTGGAGTCAGAACTTCTCCAATCTGGAACTACAGTCTGTAAAACCAATCTCTTCAACAAAGCCTGTGGATTAAAGTAGGTTATTGTCTGCTCTCTTTGCTATTTTAAAAGATGTCAATTCTATTCACTACGTAAAAGTGAACAGCTGTAGACTATCTCTTATATTAACAAAACAGGATGGAACAGGAATGACAAAATAGTCAGACTTGTCATTCTCCTTAATAAAAACGTCTGAGTAATTTCCCATTGGACGACAGCAGCAGCAGCAGCAGCAGCAGCAGCAGGAGGAGCAACAGCAGCCACGGCACCGAGCAAAGACGCAAGCCCA